ACCATGTGAATTTATTAATGATTACTGTTTTTTTTTGGGGGGAGGGGGGGGGGGAAATCTAGCTTTTCCATAATCTAATTTACTCAAGTCTTAGAATTCGTGAGTAAAGTTGAAAGAAATATTCAATTTATTTTTATAAGCACTTTTGAAATCAAACAAAAACAAGGTAAGGTAAATAGGAGGGAAAAAAAATGTAGTTTTGAAAGCAAATGTGTGTGTGTAAATACTTGCATAATGTTTTTACCTGCTTTCTCCTGGCCAATGAGCTCAACAGCATCAATTTCACACCAACTACCAGCCACAGTGCAGTTAACCTCTAATCTTACTTTGTTGGTAACAAATTTCACTTCCTGTTATAATTACATCATATCATAGAAATACCTATGTCATACTAGACTATATCAATTTAAATAATGGTCTTAATCTTTAATTGCTTCTTCTTTTTTTTTTTTCTTCCTCCTTACAATTTTTGTCGCAATAAGCCTTAATTAACAGTCACTGTATCCTTTTTTAGTTTTCTAATAATATAACAGACTCATCTAATATTATTGAAAACCAAACAGGCATTTAGTAGCATTGTATTGTAGTCTGTCTCTCTGTGGCTCTTTAGGTCTCGAGAGACGATCTTTACCCTTTGCAACCTCTATTAATCTATAACTAATATAACTAAGAGGATCTCACTAAAGTAGACATAAATATTTATTTAAAAATTACTTTGAGAGGAGGTGAAAATATTCTGCTTGATGTGATATTTTCTACCGCTGTGGTGCTCCAGAGAACTTCCCATTGGTTAAATGGATTCATAACCTTGACAGCAACTGTAGCTCCAGCATTGTATGTTTCATAAATGTTAATAGATTGTGAGAGAACAGCTTTCTCATATTCTAACTAGGTTTTAAAAAAAAAGAAAATTTACTATAAATTGTTCTATAAATTATTGGAACATAACATGAAACATATTTTTCAAATAGAATTCAATTGCTGTTTTTTTTCTTTTTTAAAAATTATTTTTCCAACGAAAAAATTTTTGAATTGAAAACAAAATGTTTATCAGAATCCAAAATGTCTATTCACTAATTCACCTCAATAAATTGAAGGCTATCAATCGATGCTGAGGCCCATGCACCTTGTATGTCTCCATATTGTGGATAAACTTTTGGAGGTCCCAAAATTTGCTCTGCACTCCAACTTTTTCGTGTACAAAATTGAGTTAACATAGATAAAAAAAAAAAGTTATTATATAGCCTAACCATTTGGAAAAAAAAAAACTCAAGTTATCACAATCTTGTTTACTTTATGAAAATATTCCAATATTTAAGTAAAGGAGTTCATTTAATCACTTTTTGTTGCGTAGGGCCTACCCAAAAAAGATTGAACTTTACATTCTCTGTGACTTGTGTATCAACAAAACGATTCTATTAATGGTCTATATATCTTTTGGGGTTAACAATTTTAAAGAAATTAGTGAGTAAAAAATTTAAGCATTATTCCATAGTCTTCAAATTTAACCCAGTGTTTTTTTTGTTGTTTTTTTTGGCTTTTTAAATGTGAAGAATGTTTTTAACATCATTTTTTAGTAATATTTATTGTAGTGGTAAGGACATTTCCTTTTTTAAAGAAAGAGACATACCTTGAGTTATTATACTGAGATGAAAATTTGGTCACTTTTGAGGCCCACTGCCTCATGATGATCCCTACCAGCCAATACTGTAAAGAAAAGAATTACAGTGACAAACCTATTTATAACAAACTGAAACACTTTTAATGGTAAAATAAACGTATGGTAGGCTGTTCAAGTTATATGTGATTGTTCCCTTTCCCTTACTATTCCCTGTCATCCTGCAGGAGGTCTGAGTTAGGACATAATAATATTCATCTAAGGAGCATCTGAAACATGTAAAACAACAATAACCACACAAAAAAAAAAACAACTTATGAATATCAGTAAGAGTTGATACTATTCCTCTTGAAACTTAAGGCTTCCTTCACAGGCCTAAGTGAAAGCAATCTTTCTGCCTTATTATAAAGGGTTCCTACCAGGTGTAAATTTGTACCTCTGTTTCCTCAGGGCTCCTTATCCTAAGACATTTAGGCTTGAGGAATAGTGTGTGGATTATAACTAGCTGTTGAGCTTTTCTATCCCTGTCATTGCAATGAACTCTGTTCTTGATGGTACCCCAAAAGGGGCACTGTTTAATATTATAAAATACAGACATTACATCAAAAAAAAAGATGTTATGTCCTACGCTTGCTTTTATGTCAATCTAGTCACGCATGTTAATCAGTTACTTAAACTCTGCCAAGTCATTGGTTTTCCTGGCTGATTCAGGCAACCCATCCCATGCTCTAAAAATAGGAGCATTCATACAAATCTGTCCTAGCATATGGAACAAGAAATGTGCCTTTATTTGTGTCTTTCTGGGTATTTTATTAGGTTTTGTTTTTGTATTTGAATATCATGGACATGCTAAAAGGTTGTTGTTTTTTTTTAATTAGCATAGTTAATGATGTGCAACGCATACCCCCTCCAAACTGTTCCCGTACCCCACTTTGGGAAACACTGAACTAGATGATGAATAGATCTGGTCTAGTAGTAGTTATTATCATTTATGCATGTTGAGCTTATAATACTTATATATAGCCAATATAGGGTGTTTAATTATTTATTTATTTTTTTTTTTTACAGCCAGTCTATTTATATAGGCTAGATCTATCTATCTGCAATCTGAAATTATGAAGTACCGGTGGATCTACATATCTATAGGCCTATATATATATATGCTTTTTTTGTGACGGTACGCACCGGTACGGCGTACCGGCACTTTTTTCAATGTCGGGAAAAATTATTAATTTTTTAGTAGTTAAAAGTTAGGCAATCCATCACTGAGTACCGGCACCTACTTTTTTTTTTTTACAAAAAAAAGCACGGTATAGACTATATATATATATTGATAATTTAAACGGAAAAAAACGCACACGTCGGTTTATAGGCCTATAAACTTAGATCTAGATAACTTAAATATTTACTGTGTATTTAAGTTTTTTAAATGTATATTTAAAATAATGAATAACTTATTTCTCGTCTCATGTTAGACTAGATTAAGATCTAGGCCTATATACAAATGTCACTCAATATAATATAGCATCTAGATCTACCTTTTGATCAAGAGTCTATAGATTTATATGTCTTTTTTAGGCAGCTGAAACTACCTTTGAAATCATTTTCTAAATATAGAATCTAGCTCGTCTAAATCTAGATCATTAAAATAAAACACCAAGAATGACCTAAGAAACCCCAATACATATTCTCTTTACTACTAATTTATTATTAATCCTAACATGCTATAATTTTCTACTAGATTATTAGGCGATAGACCGTTCCCCATTTTATGATTTTACTCATCGGTACCGCATAGACTTTGGAATGGAATTGAGGGCGACTACTATATATATAGGCCTAATATAGTCTTTAGTCAGATATCACTTCTATTGACCCTCAACAAGGTTTATGATCTGTTGGCTACCTTTATAGTATCTAAAATAGGTTTTTTATTTTTTTGTTAAATAGCTTCACTAGGATGTAATTTGTTCTATCGTAGTACCGCGCGGTATCAGATTGATCCATGATGTTCAAATGTTGAAATCAACTTCCTCGAGATTTAGGGGAAATACCCAAGCTTGAGCAAATCTGTTTCTAGCTAAACACCGCAAATGTTGATATTCGTTGCCATTGCCAACAAACACACACACACACACACACAAAAAGGCTAATTAAAAAAAAAAGTTTATAGTAGGCTACAAATTGAAGCATTACAATTTAAAAGTAGGTGTATTAAGATACTATCAAGTTTGGTGGTGTGGAGGATTTTTTTTAATGACCTTTGAAAGACGATTTCGTTCAAATTTTAGATTTAAACGCTGGATTGAATCTATATAGTTTTTAGTCGTATTTTACACCTAAGAATGAGTTACTATATAAAGCGCTATTAGCAAGAAATGAGTTATTATGCTGCTGATTCAATAAAATAGAAGAATAAAATACCCCTTGACAGATGATATAAAGGTCATCTATATATGGCCCATGGTTCACTAGGGTGTTATGTGGCCAGCATGACGACCAACCACCTCTAGGCCTACTATACCCCAACTAATTTTAAGTAACCCATTAGAGTTTGGGACAACTCAGAAGCACCCTAAAAATTCTGAAATTCAAAATCCTAGTCTTCACTGGGATTTTAGCCTTACACCCTGTGGTTTGGAAACCAAGTGATTTACCACTTAGTCACCATGCCCCATTGCTGCTAAAAGTTACAAGGTTATTTAAGCATGCAAGTGGTGAAGTCTTAGAACTAGCATTAAGATGAATACAGATACAACTCAGCTTGATAATTGAGATTCCAAACATTTCCATTACTTTGATTACTCAGGTACCCTACCGAACTAAAAGTGTGTAACATTTATGTATGGTACTGGTATTGAAATATGCAGAAATAGGTTTCAAAGATTACTGGTACATAATATTGCTCTAGTAAATATTATTTTATTTTTTTGTAGCTGCTGTAAAAAACAAGGAAAAGAAAAGGAATATATAATAAATAACAATATATATATTGTTAGACACCTTGTTTATAGATTAGTTATTTAGCGACGCACCATAGAAGTATATTGAACATGACTAGTGACGTTTGGGATACTTTGAGACCGGAAAATCAGCGATAAAATTCTCTAGGGTAAGGACGTGTTTATTTTGACAGAGACTTTAACTGTGGCTTTTTCTTAAAATAAATATATGATAAACTGTTCCTCAGTGTTGACCACATCTCTTTACTCGTTACATCATCGTCTTGTTTATTCTGTATTGTTGATCAACTACACTGAATACACCCGAACAATACAACTCAAACGCTTGCAGAGAAATTGGTTGAAATTCAACAGTCATCTATAGTTGACATCAAGACAGCCTGAACAAGTACATCACAATATATAACAATAAAAGGCAAACACTTTGATGCAGATTTTAATGCGTACAAAATTAAGGTTCACAAATGTATAAAAACAGTATGAATACTCATATATGAGAAGAATATAAACAGTTTTGTGAAGCATAATCTTTAATGAGACACAGCTTTAAACCCAGACTGCTTATAATTGAACTGAATAAAATAATTTAAAGCAGCAACAGAATACACTCATACTCATGGAATAGTTTTATAAATAAATAATACACATAGTTTCACCATTTTAATTCACACAAGAAAAAACATCTATATAGGTAATGATTTTTTTTTTAATCAAAATTTTTCAACATAAAAATATATTGTTGCCTTTAAGTGGCATTCATAAGCGTGAGCACTACCATTGGCCACACATTTTTAAAGCTCCTATGGATTTAACATAGGTATTCTCTATGGAAAAAAAAATTGAGACCCGAAGAGCATCAAGGACTCAATTAACATAACCTACTTGCAGTACAAGATTAATATATAAAGAATAGATAAAATTTATGATCCACTGAGCTAAAAGGAATCATTACAATAGTAAGCAACATTTAATTTTTAAAAAGTTATACTACTAGGTAATTAAATCCCTTAAATTCCTTAGTTAGCTGTAGCATCAAAAGATTTGGAGGGGGAAAAAAAAAGAATGTTTAAATAATTAAAAATTCTCATAAAATTATCCGAAACTGTTAAATTATAAAAGAATTCTAAGGAAGAAAATATGTGCTCAAATTATCTTAACACTTACACTACCAGAAGTTAAAAATTTTTTTTTTTAAATAATCAAGATTATCTATTTCATGTTATAGGATAATTTGGATGATCAATATTTTTCTTTTGTCTTGCTTAAAACTGTATATTTAAAATAGAAAAAAAAGTGTGAATAAAAGTAAGACTCAAAACAGCATTCTGTGATGTAAATGAACCTACCAAATAGTTTAAAAAATGGCTTTTTACAGAGTTCACATTTCATCATCATCAATACACAGACTTTCCTCAGGGAAATCTCCAACTTCCACATGTGAAGGACGAACAAAACCACCATACTTAGGTGGGCATTCAAAATATTTTCTGCCCTCAACTGTTCCATCATTTTTCCCATGAGGCTCATCATACTGTATGCCGACCCAAATGCCAGGCTTGAAGTCTGTAGTGCCAACATATTTAACTGCACCACGTCGCGTGGGCTGTCCTGGAACACTAACCTGGCACCGGTCACCAACATGAATATTTTTGGCTTTTTCTTCTTCCTCCTGTTTTTTAGCCTTTAGCTCCTCTTCTTTTTTTTTCATTTCTTCCTCGTTAAATCTTCCTAATTTATTCCTTTCTTTAAATGCTCTGACAGAATCTTGGCGTTTCTTGTATTCTTCTTCTGAGAGTTCAAATTTCTCTACCTTTGATGTATCAGAATATTCATCTGGCCGTACGCTGGAGTCCTCAGCATGAATTATCATGCCATCATCAACGGGATAAGAACCAAGGAGAGCATCATCATTGTCAATGGCACAAACAAATTTATTCTCTGCAGTGAATGCTGATAATTTCATAGTCTGTGCGAATGCGCCAGTGATTAATTCTAGCTTGGTTTTAAGCACTGATATTGTTAATCCTCTTTCAAATCGTCTTTCCACTCCATATGGATTAGCTGTTGATGTGACTTGAACAGAAACCAAAGGATTGGATGAAACAGTAATTTCAGCCATATTTCAAAACTCCTCACCTGTAAAAAAAAAAGTAAAAAAGTAATAAAAAACAAATACTAAAACAGCTTAAAATTCATATTTTACTATCTTATAATATTTTTTTTAACATACTGAACACAATTTAGTTTTTTGGCAGAATTTTGTGTTAAACATGTACCAACATGTGTCCAAACTGTCCAACCCTAAAGTGGCCTTTCATCCTAGATCTTCTTTCCCAAGAGTCAGTTTTTTTTATTTCACTGTGTCTATGTAGATCTAAAGGTTTTATAAATGCCTTAGACTTAGAGAAGCTCTGAGAAACATTTATAAGGATTAATCAATAACAGGGATTAAGAAAGAAACTGCACAATCTGGCTGAAGATCATTTTTAATTTTTAAATTATTTTTTTTCTTTTACAAAATAATGATCAAAAATCAATTTAAAAAAAAAAAACAAGTTGTTTAAAAGATAGAAAATTTCATTTGTACTGTATTAGTTTGTTAAAAAAAATGTTATGTTCTGGTTTGTTAATAAATCTAGAATATTTATGGTTAACTGTTAACTAATCATCTATTATTATAAGTACAAGTAGTAAATAGTACATGTTTGTAGATCTAGATATAAGTTTTATCCCTTTCCAGTACATCAGAAAATAGCCAATGATGTCAAAGTAATCTGTTTCTAAAGAGCAGGATGTCATGTTGCCAGCACAACGACCAACCACCTTTACTTTCCAAAATCCCAGTCTTCACAGAGATTCGAACCCAGGATCCCAGGTTAGGAAAGCCAAACGCTTAACCACTCAGCCCCCCCCCCCCCCCCCCCCCAAAGTAATGTAATAACTTAAGGGAGGCTACTCAACGAGGCAACGATGTTTATTCATGGGACATCACAAGTACATAAAACAACATCTCCCTTAAGCACAGTCTCTTCATATTGGCTCTAGAATTGGCAGAACTTGTTTTCTTCCTTCTAATGTCAACATCCTTCTAGTCTAAGTCTCTAAGAGTAGAGTGCGCTCCTTCTATATATCTAAAATCAAGACCTAACTTATCTACATCTAGGTCTCTAATCTAGTATAGTATTAGTAATCTAAAGAGACAATTTATGACAATATAAATATAATAATGTATATATTTTAATATATACTACATTAGAGTCTTAGACATTAGTGACTCATTAATCAGTATTGTTATTATTAGTACTATTATACTTAGACAATTAGTGATTCACTGATTACACTATTTAGACTATTAGACGAACAATTATTAGTATTAGTATAGACAAGTATAGTGATAGTTTATACTTCTATACTTTGTCTATAGACTATAGTCTAGACAGTATAATATATATATTATATATATAAGTATAGTATAGTATTACTATTTACAGTATTTACAGATTAGTGAATTAGTGGAGTCTTAAGACTTAGATCTTGGGCAGGGATAGAGTCTACTATCTCAGTATCTGAGCGCCACTAGCGAGCGATATTAATTAATATTAATTTGTAATGAAGGTGGCGTCAGAACATTTATTTTTGTATAGCGGCCGTTTGCAAATTAAAAATAAAATAGTAAATACGCCAGCTCAAAACTGATAGACTCTATATCTAATCGAAACTTGACCAGGGGCGGACTGAGTGTCAAAATCGGCCTTGGCATTTCTATGCAATTCGGCCCACAAATTCTATATCATATGATGGGCATCCATTTCTAGGTCTACCTGTCCTCAAAGTCATTATGTTAAGTTTGATAATGTATTAATATGCATGTATACAGTGAACTCTACATCTTTATTAGAAATATAGGCATTATGTTGCTTTTTAATCGCTAAGTATGTAGGCCCCAAAAGGATAATGCCTACTGGTAGCACTGTCTACGACTACGTATGTAGGCTATTACATTATTTCGGAAAAAGTGTTAAATCAAAATGATATTACACTAGAGTCTGTGCAAACGAATATTCACATTTGACTAGGGTAACACCATTAGTAAAATCACTAAATTTAGAAAGCCTTCAGGACAGAAGACTCAAAAGTAAAGTAGCAATTATACATAAAACACTGAACCATAATCTTCAAATACAAAATTTAATAAAATACTCTGAAAGACACAAAAATAAAGGCACATTCCTCGTCCCATATGCTAGGACAAATTTGTACAAATACTCCTTCTTCCCTAGTGCTATTAGAGCATGGAATGGGTTGCCTGAGCTAGCCAGAAAAACCAGTGACTTGGCAGAATTTAAGTCATTGGTTAATATGCATGACTAAATGCATGACGCGTAGGACGTAATCATCTTCTTTTTTGAAGTAACGTCTGTATTATATAAGATAAGATAAGATTTGTTTTTAAACACAACGCTTAGTCGGCCTATTAATAAGAGAATATAAAACCTTTAACATTTTCATGCGTGCTATAGTGGCATCGATGCGGCCATTTCGGTGGCCCTACCGCCCACCGGCACCGGGCATTATGATTTGCCCAAATGCCCATATAGCCAGTCCGCCCCTGAACTTGACTTTATACACTCACTAGATCTGAATATCGATCTCTATGGAAATGCTCTGTATGGCGAACGAGATTCTCTAAGTGTCTAAGTTTGAATTAGTTTTCAGTAGATCTAGATCTAGAGTCTATATAGATCTAGAGTTAGAATGTAGTCTAGAGACTAGAATCCATGCATGGAATGGGAATCCCCGTTGGTTAGAATCTAAAAACTAAACTCTAAATCTAGATAGGATCTAATACCCAAAAATTATTCCGAAACAAAAGACACTGTTTATGATTTGTATTTTTTAGAATTTTAAGTAAATTTAGGTAGTAGAATATACCGTAGATTAGATCTGTAGTCAATAGTGACTATAGGGACATCGATCTAAGAAAACATTATATAATGATAATCTAATCTAGACTCTTTAAGATCTAGAATAGATCTAGAATCTAGATCTATTTTTCTAGAATCTAGAGATCTACATAAATGTCATAAACTGCCATCATGATAAACTAGAATTTTTTACTAGATCTAGATCTACATTTATTTCATTTATAAATTTATTTATTTTTTTTATTCAAATTATTAAAAAACACTCGACTGTTGAGTGTTGTGAACAGTTGTGGCTCTGACAGTGATAGGCTCTGTAAATTTTGATGTTATCTGTATTTTAAATCTGTAATAAATTATAGATCTAGTTCTATTCCGTACATAAACAAAACGGTAAAAATTTTTAAAAAACATTACATACTGTAACATAGATGATAGATTATAATTGAAATATTATAATAATTATATATTTAAAATATATTTTATATTATACTCTTATAGTTTAGTTACTAGGTAACTAGTAGTACAACCTTACAACCCTATTAGGCCATATATAATATATAGATCTAGAATCTACTGATCTAAAATAATCTAGATACCAATATAAATAATAATAATTTTTATTACTCTAATTGATTTAATTCTTATATTCATAGTATTCATACATATATAGTATCATATAGACTATTATATTATAGATTTTAGTTTAGCCCTCAGTCTTGCAATACCGGTATTCAAAACCACCCTTGTAAGAGATAGATTTTTTTCTATACTATTCGGGACGACATAGCGGTAGTGGCACACTCACAAGAGGAGCTTTAGTCACTAATGTCCCACTTCTCTCAGGCTTGTAAAGAGTATGGCCTAACCATTATCACAAAGGAAACTAATGTTATGGAACCACCTGCTACAGCACCACCCTCCCTGACTCATTGATGATAAAAAGCTGTTTGCTGCAAATGAATTCTGCTTGGTTCTACAATTCAAGATGACCTGTCTTTAGAAGAAGAGATAAAAAAAAATGCATAGGGAAGGCCGCATCGACCTTCACTAGACTCGACCAAGAGTTTGTAAAAACCAGAAGCTCACTACTGCAAGCTGCAATATATGTCAACAGGAGTGTCTCTCCAAAATAAG